GGTTCAGCGCTAAATAATCTAAAAGAAACTAAAATAAGTATAAAAGCAGCAACCTATAGAAATGAGGTACCCTCAAAAAACCTCACAAAGAATAAAGTAGACAAAAATTGGTATATAGGTCGCGCTGTAGGGACAAGGAAGTGATATAAAATGAATAAATAGATATAATAAAAAGTCCCAAATAGTAAATAAACCTGTATAATTCTTGAGTGTATATAAAGTCCAAATGAGTATCTGAAGCTTCTTGTGTTGGAGATATCTTGATTCACTTGTAGATATGTGGATACATGGAAAAGACAAGAAAAACTCCAATAGTGTAGAATGTCGACAAATGGTCAGATAGAAATCTGTGAGTAGGTAAAAAAACTCACCTTTGAATGAGCAAAGAAACTTGCTCAAGTGTTCTCAGCGTTCAGTGGCGTCAATCCCCCACTGGTCGGATATAGGTGATGGAATCTTTAAAAGTTCCTCACTATGTGGAGAGATGAGAGACGTATATAGTGCTCACTGTATTATTTAAAAAACAAATAAAATGGTAAAATACTCACATGTATATGAGCAGGAACTACTGCTCAATATAATGGCGCAGGTGGTATAATCCCAACCTAGGATTCTTGAGTAGTAATGTACTTCAATCCGAATCGGTGACCAGGTAATTCAAATTAAAATAAAAAGAAATAAAAGGTATATATAGGCAAAAATAAAAGCCAATATTCCTTTATTAAAATATAATATATCAGTATAAAAAACAATGTAATAACAGCCAGAACGCGTTTCACCACACAGGGCTTTATCAAATGGCATTAAAAAGAGAGAAAAACCTGGTACAATAAGTGATTTTATAAACTAAGAAGAACAGATATGGATTCAAATTTTGGCGCCAAAATGACGTCACTAATAAAATATGCATTATTTAAAAAGTAATAAAAAATTAAAATTTGAGATGTAGGAACATATTTAAATGAAATCCAAAGGCGTCTATGTATTTAAAATAGTAAAACGAGCATTATAGGCATATAATTTACTTGTAGATGTAATATGCTTTGAGGAATACGTGATCGCGACCTCCCGCGATCAAACGGCCGAGCATTCTGGGAAGTGTATGCTGGGGCCAAGAGACCGGCGCGATTATACTCCGCCCGTCTCTCGGCATCAGCATAAGAGGGGAGGGCATACAGGAGCAAGGGAGACCAATGGCTAAAATAGCCATATGATATAAACAGAGAGAGAGCCTGGGGGAATAAAATAAAGGAAAGAGAGGGAGATCTGAAAGTGGGACTACCACAAAGGGCATCCAACATGGATTATAAATATAATCAACACCTTCCAGATATACAGGCAGCTACTAGAGACACCAATCCACCGAACCGGATAAGCATACGCATGCTCTCTAACATACGAATGCTGTAAACAGCCCAATAGGAAAAAAACATACGAAAGGTTTACACTCCTAGCAGTCGAACTGGAACAGCATTCAATAAATCCACCCCCTCCCCCATGAACGAGACAAGGCTCCGTGTTGAGGGTCAAACAGGAAGAGACAGAGCTGTGGCTTTATTGGCCTTATATACACATTTTACAGACAGTCCAATCAAAACATACAACACAGATAAACACTCCCACAATGACATCACAATCCCTCCTCTCTATCCTGGAGATAATTGGGAAGTAATCCAATTATCTCCAAGGACAGAGGCAAAACCCCATTAAGCACATGGCAGTAAAAAGACAGTAAAATACAATAAAATACACAAGGTTACATTTATTACATAAAATACAGCCATGCAACATATCCCCAGATAGCTTAGGTCTGAGTGCACATTATTACTGAATGGTGCTCAGACCACACCCATACAGTTCAATTGCCATGGAGCCAAAGTCTTTTATTACATGACATAGCTATCTGGGTTAAATGATTTCATTCAGTAAATCCGTGTGTGAACTGCTGACTGCTGTCATCCAGTGTTCAGTGTGTAGCTGCAGCCACCCGGTATAGTCAATTAAGCTGCGGTTAACCACGGCTTCTGGTCGGTCAATAGGCAGCGCTCGCTGGCTTCTGGGCGTACAATGGCTTTTTGTTCGGTAGATAGAATCTTCCGAATGCCTGGGCAGAAATACATGAAAAGACCTTTCTGCATAGGAAAATAAAGTATTTAAATGCCGGTCCATAGTCAAAAGGCAGCAGGCAGGCAACCAGGCTCCTCCAATGCACAGTGACGAGATTGGTCTCGTCACACAGTGCAAAGCCTTACTGGAAAGAGCTGCCGTAGCCAGAGCTAATGGCTTTTGGTTCAACAGGATATGATTACAGAAGATCAGGATAAACAACTTATCCGATTGTTCCAGAATTTACGGTTGTCAAATGAATTTTTTATGGATATGACTGTGGAAGTTTTGAAGAGGTCATCTAGGATTATGGGTTTATTCTCGGTAGCACAGTGAGCTTTATGGTTAAGATCATGGATGGCTGATACAGCGTCTAAATCGGTTCCTTGTGAGCTTCCCTTGGAAAAGAAGAAGCTGTTTGGGTCTCCCTTAGAGGAAATCATCAAACAAATGTCAGAGACTAAGAAGGCTCTACCTCAGGAAAGGAAATTTGCATGGAAAGCAAGTAACAGGAATTTCCAGTATAGAAACAGAAGATCATAAGAGAGTTCTCGTTATATTCAAAGAAAAGGAAAAAAAATCTAAGTTTTGAACAAAGAGGCGATTTCAAGAGATCTGACAGAGCTGATAGAAGTAAAAGTTTCTGACGCCAAAAGAGTGGGAGGAAGAATTCAACAGTTCTACCATATATGGGAAAAGACTACAAGCAATCCTTGGATTCTAAATCTAGTATGAAACGGTTACAAGTTACACTTCACGAGAATGCCAAGATCAAACAAACATTCTCATTTCCATTTACCCATCCTCAAAAAAAGTCAGAAGCCCTGCTTTCCCAACCTTTTTTACTTTCACAGAAAGGAGTCATAGAGAGAGTTCCAGAACATCAAAAGTACCAAAGGGTTTATTCAAGACTCTTCCTCCTTCGAAAGCCAGACTACACTTTTCGCCCAATTCTGGACTTAAAATTGGAGGCGGCGCCTGACTTCCGGAGCGGATGGAGTTCTGCAATATTGGGCAACAAAATAGCCTACAATAGCCCCTAAAGCCTGAAAAAAAACACAGCAAACTGTGAACATACCCAGAGAGAGACATTGGGAAAAAAAATCAAAACTGGATCGATGGTGGCCCCGATTTTCCGCGCTCTGTCAGGGTATTTATATCGGCAGACATTTTGTGCTATGATAGAAACTAAAAGTGTATATACTGAGTCACTCTGAACAGACCAGACTCCATTTTGTTATTTTCAAGTTAACAAAAAGACACAAGATTTCTTTCTGTAAGACTAGCCACTTTGCCAGAGCTAAAGGAATGCATAGTATAAACAAGTGATAAGAAGAATATAATCAAATCTAAACCCAGACAATTGTGACAGAGAAGATTAAATAATAAAATTTAACTGTCTATACATATAAGGTCCCATTGTAAGTTACGGGTCAAAACTCAGATTGCCAGACACATAGTCTGGACAAAACTTAAATAAACCCTTTGATCTGTGAAGGATACGTAAGTTATGGCCACTATCTAGATAGGCCAAAATGACGTCAAAATAGCCACCAAGAAAAGTTAACTCTTTCCTGGATAGGTATGTTTAGTGGGACAAGACTGCCCTCTATAGACCAAATAACTAATTTGCGATCTGGAAGATAACCACACCTCTAGTACTTCTATTGGGTTATCAACTGATGACGTACAGAGAGTCTGGCCCTTTAAAAGTTAAGACAAAGGGAAGATACAAGATATGCAAAGGAAAGAGGAGAGAGGAATTGGAAGTTTGGGGACTCCAACCTCCATGCAGAGAGACATCCAAATAAGTTCCTGAGACTACCAATCGGATGAAATATCTACTCAACTGGTAATTATACTGGTTTCATTTAATTAATTAAATTAATTAAAATGTATTAATAGCATTATATATGACTGGATAAAGCACGGTCAGATTTCCATATTAAGAAATCTTAGTTAACTAAAGAATATATAGTTATAAACATTCCATTCTGCAGGTGGAATTAAGAATAATTATATATTAATGTGATATTATCACGTGTTAGCATACCGCTGTTTTTATCCAGGTGTATTGATTTGCTCTAATATAAGATAAGATATCTTATTAGGCGAATTAAAATCTGCTTATATAATCATGGTAGATTCTCTTATTGGATGGTTCCAGGAAATGACTAATGAACTGGTTTAAATGTATTTTATTTAAAAATTACATAAGAATAGATCCTAACTACCTAGGAGATTTAGCCAGCATTGAAAGGGTTATTCTAACTGTCAGCTAAACTTTACGACCTTACGCTGCACTCTGAGGAATTCTGTTCTTCGCTGTGAAAAGTTTCACTTTAAGTCTGTGTTAAGGATACCTCATAAATCGTCAGAAGACTTGACAGATAATGCTGTTTTAGCCATTGAAACGTAATACCCATTCCTTTGTATTGCATATCATTTTATACTGGATATTCATTGATTATTGTCATGCATGTTACATATTATTATTATTAATTAACTTGTTATTATAAATAAAATCTATTTTTATACATTGTGAATATTATTTATATGAAATACTTTCACTTACGATAAACATTCTTTGGGATCTGAGAATTGAATTAGCGGGCAATTCTCACTGTTACTATTATTATCCCATAAATATCCCCACAGCTCGCACAGATGGCGGCCTACAACGTGCAGAAGAAAAACAGGAATCAGAGTCTGACACAGAGGCCAGCAGGAGGGAGGAGAGCACTCCAGATTGATCCCCGATCAGCAAGGGGGATCTGAAAGACCTGCTGAGAGACATTAACCTCAATATGGCAGCAGAACTGACTAAACACCTAGCACCAATAAAAGAAAGCCTAGAGGACCTTACTAAACGCACAGTAGCAGTGGAAGACAAGATGGAGGAACTCACTACTACAACCTCCAGACAGGACAGGGCCCTGCAAGAACAAGTGCGTGCCCTGGAAGATCTTAACAACCGCTCACGCAGAAATAACATAAGAATCGGAGCAAATCAACCACGCAACGCTATAATCTGCATGCACTACTTTCACGTGAAAGAAACGCTAAAGAGGGCCACCCCGCTGCAAATAGAATGCCACCAGGACCTGGCCCCTAGCACATTACAAAAAAGGAGGGTGCTCCACCCGTTAACGCTGGCCTTCACACAACAGAGACTGCATTATGTATGGGTCCATCCTTTCAAATTAATGGTGACATCTCTGAAGCACATGACTTTGCGTCACAACTAGGCCTACCACACATCGACATAGCACCATGCCAGAGAACTCGCGAACATCACGGAGCACAAAATATACCATCCTCGCCGAGAAGACGGAGACCATCCAGGCGAGAACTTACATAAGGACTAGACACCAAGGATTCCCCGCCGACGAGAGGAGGACTGCGGAAAGCTGACATAGACCCCTCACAATCGCCCACTCACTGGACGCATGTATCTACTTAACCAGCCACCCAGACGCCACAACCACCCAGAAGAAGCACAAACAGAATGACCCTGGAAAGCAGACCACACAGACTTGCTCCGACATCGGGAAGAACGCAAGTATAAAGACTCCCCTCCTTCTCCCACTCTGGCCCCCTAGACACCGGCTCACACCTTATACCCCATCAACCAAAGGGCACCCGGGACTCCCCCTGGCCTCATAAGCCACTAAACCTTGCTGCATTGAGTGAAACTAGAAGGGACAAACATGGTGGCTTACGCTGCAACCAGAGTGACACCTAACGCAACACGCCTCAGGTCCAAGGACAATACTACAAGTGGAAGGCGCACACGTTACATCTCTTATCCACTTGCTGTAATGGAGGGGCGCCTGACTTCCGGAGCGGATGGAGTTCTGCAATATTGGGCAACAAAATAGCCTACAATAGCCCCTAAAGCCTGAAAAAAAAAACACCGCAAACTGTGAACATACCCAGAGAGAGACATTGGGAAAAAAAATCAAAACTGGATCGATGGTGGCCCCGATTTTCCACGCTCGCACAGACGGCTGCCTACAACGTGCAGAAGAAAAACAGGAATCAGAGTCTGACACAGAGGCCAGCAGGAGGGAGGAGAGCACACCAGATTGATCCCCGATCAGCAAGGGGGATCTGAAAGACCTGCTGAGAGACATTAACCTCAATATGGCAGCAGATCTGACTAAACACCTAGCACCAATAAAAGAAAGCCTAGAGGACCTTACTAAACGCACAGTAGCAGTGGAAGACAAGATGGAGGAACTCACTACTACTACTCGCTTCCCTGGGAACCCAAGAGGACAGACCCATCATAGCAATACCCAGCTGACAGTCTGCACTCTGGGGTGGAATTCTAGACTAACTGGTGTCTTCAACGCTAACATTGAATGTTTTTTTTGAAAATTGCTAAGATATATGCAAATATTGAATGTGTAATCCATGTTAAAATGCACAATGTCTACATGCAAAGAGGACTAACGGGGAACAAGAGGCGCCCGGGCTCTTGCCTCCCCTGGCCCCCCCTCACTCCTGGATGTGGGGGGGGGTTGGGTGATGCGGGGGCTACGGGCGTTTGCAGCCGTACAGACAACCCAACATCACGGCTCATAAACATCCGTTATACCCTGACTGCAACTTGTGGGGATATTTATGGGATAATAATAGTAAACAGTGAGAATTGCCCACTAATTCAATTCTCAGATCCCAAAGGTCGTTATCGTGTTAAGTGAAAAGTATTTCATATAAATAAAATCACAATTTTGTTATAAAAATAGATTTTATTTTATAATAACAATTAATTAACAAATAATATTATGTAACATGCGTGACAATAATCAATGAATATCCAGTATAAAATGATATGCAATACAATGGAATGGGTATACACGTTTCAATGGCTAAACAGCATTTTCTGTCAAGACTTACACGATTTATGACTATCTTTACAGACTGAAAGTGAAGCTTTTCACAGCGAAGGGCCATAAAACCCTAGCTAACAGTTAGATCAACTGAATAACCCTTTCAATGCTGGCTAGATCTCCTAGGTAATTAAGATCTATTCTTATGTGATTTTAAATAAAATAACATTTACACCAGTTCATTAGTCATTTCCTGGAACCATCCAATAAGAGAATCTACCATGTTATATAAGCAGATTTTAGTTGGTCTAAAAAGATATCTTATCTTATATTAGAGCAAATCAATACACCTGGATAAAAACAGCGGTATGCTAACACGTGATAATATCACATCAATATATAATTATTCTTAATTCCACCTGCAGAATGGAATGTTTATAACTATATATTCTTTAGTTAACTAAGATTTCTTAATATGGAAATCTGACCGTAATTTATCCAGTCATATATCATGCTATTAGTACATTTTAATTAATTTAAATAATTAAATGAAACCAGTATAATTACCAGTTGAGTAGATATTTCATCGGATTGGTAGATAGTCTCAGGAACTTATTTGGATGTCTGTAGGTGCATGAGTTATGATGAAAGGTGGTGTTGGTTAGAAAGTCAGTTAAAATTCTAAGTGTTAGAGTTTTAAGAGTATAGTGTTAGTCTCAGATGTTGTCCTGGGTTTCTCTGCATGTCCGACTTGGAGTCCCCAAACTTCCAATTCCTCTCTCTGTCTCTCTTTTTTTTTTTTTCTACCTCTTTGTCTTAACTTTTAAAGGGAAAATTCACTAGTTGGTAAACCAATAGCAACACTGGGGGTGTGGTTATCTTCCAGATCGTAATTTAAGTATTTGGTCTATAGAGGGCAGTCTCGTCCCACTAAACATACCTATCCAGGAAAGAGTTAACTTTTCCTGGTGGCTATTTTGACGTCATTTTGGCTTTATCTTTATAGTGGCCATAATTTAAGTTTTCTGTCAGATCAAACAGTTTCTTTAAGTTTTGTCCAGACTTAGTGTCCGCAATTTCTGCTATAATTTCTAAAATGGCAGTTCATGAACTAAGTTTAACCTCTTCCGTACAATGGTACCTTATAAAATTAGAAAGTAAAATTAAATTATTTAATCTCCTCTGTCACAAATGTCTGGGTTTGGAATTGATTATATTCCATTAGCATTTAGACAGTCTGTCCAACCCCCGTTCTCCTTATCACTTGGTTTGTATATACTATGCATTCCTTTAGCTCTGGGAAAGTGGTTAGTTTTACAGATAGAAATCTTGTGTCTTTTGTTAGCTTGGAAATAACAAAATGGAGTCTGCTCTGTTCAAAAGTGACTCAGCATATACACTTTTAATTTCTATCATAGCACAAGATGTCCGCTGATATAAATACCCTGACAAACTAACCTATCAAAAGGTTAACACCCACTTCTTCAACCCGTACTGACCGACCTCGATAAACCAACTACACTCACACTTGGAGAGGAGTGGTCTGCGGTCAGTTTGTAAGCCCAGCAGCCCCTACCCAGTGGGCTTAGGCAGAGGGAAAAAAAACAACAAAGATGCTCGCACGGAAATTGAAACGCCGTATACAAATCGAAAAAGACCTCACAAGTCCATGCACCAGACGGACAAAAGAGCGACATCCCAGAACGGATAGGAGAAATTTTCCAAGCCTACTACACTGACCTCTACAACCATGAAACTACACTGCAACCAAACACACAAAACATCCCACATCTTATTTCGACCTTTCTCTAGATTCTAATCCTTATGATTTCCTACAATAATCACGGAAACTAGCCAGACATTAATAGAAGTGCTGACAGTCGAGGAAATGGACATCGCATTGAAATCATTTAAGCCCAACAAAAGCCCAGGCCCTGATGGCTTCAGAGCCCTATATTATAAAGTACACAGCACGCTCCTGCTGAAACACCTATGCGCAGTTTTCAATGCTATGCTCCGTGGGGACAAGCTAACATATGCCTTATCCCCAAACCTGGAAAAAAAAACACATGATGAACTCGGACACTTTCGCCCTATATCGCTCCTAAATGTAGACTTAAAAATCATGACTAAAGTTATTGTCAACATAATTAACCCTCTTCTTAGCACTCTGATACACCCAGACCAAGTGGGTTTCATACCCAATAGACAAGCCGCCTATAACACTAGATGAGCAATAGACCTCATTGTACGCACGACATAGGAACATCGCCACAGCAGTCATATCCCTAGACACCGAGAAGGCATTTGACCATCTCCTATGGCCTTATCTATCCCACATTCTTACACACTTTGGATTCCCAACTGAATTTCTACACTTCTTAGAAGCGACACGCCACTGCGCACCTACCCAATATCGATCCCCCCGCTTCACCATCTCCAACGGGACGAGACAGGGGTGCCCCCTATCACCCTTCCTATTTGCCCTATCCCTAGAACCCCTACTAGAAGTGATACACTCCAGCCCAGAAGTAAAGGGAATAACGATTCGCGGGCAACCTTATAAAGTATCCGCATACGCGGATGACGTCCTTCTGACTTTGACTAACCCGTCCTCCTCCATCGAACATTTACTACACCTGATCCACTCTTTCTCCGGGATCTCAGAATACAAACTCAATCTAGAGAAATTGAAACTCCTCCCAATTGGCATAACAGACAATGACCTCACACACCTACACTCCAAGTTTCCCCTGCGCATCTGCAAATCGACCATAGTGTACCTAGGCATAAGACTCACCCCCGACGTCACATCTCTCTAACAAGAAAACTAAACCCCGCTGCTAAGAAAAGCATACCTTAAAACATGGGAATCCTTTGGGATCTCATGGATGGGCCATGCAGCATCCATTAAAATTAATCTCCTACCCCGATTCTTGTATACCTTCCAGACCCTCCCTCTTACATTCCGCAAATCTGACTTCACCTCACTACAGACGGCTATAAATAAATGAATATGGAATGGAACCAAACCTAGAGTATGCCGGGAAACCCTGTATATCCCTAGAAAAGCATGTGGCCTGGGACTGCCCAATTTCCAACATTATTTGTATGCGGCCCACCTTGCTCAGATACAGATGTGGTACCTGCCACCCTCAAAGAAAAGGTGGGTGGATATCGAGCACTACATATTCGGGTGGGACCACCCTTCCTTATACATGTGGCTACCAAGACAGGCACAACCTCTACACCCCCCCTCCCCGCGGCACCCACAATAACACACTCCCTGGACATGTGGGATAAGCTA